TTGTTTGTAAAAGATAAAAATAAAAAACCAAAAACTTGGTTATTTGAATTTTTCACATAAATTTTGAGGTTATGTGAAAAAAGTGTAAATACAAAAGTTGTAGATCTTTTTATTACCTACAACTTTGCCATTTAACTTTTTTCCATAAGACTTGTAGTTTTTCCGGAAATCAAAATAAACCGTTTTTTACCCTTAAAAACTCACCCCCTTCCCCTTCCCGACCTCAGATCGCCCGTAAATTATGTTTCTTTTCATTTCTGTTATATTCTCTTCCTTTTCCAATGGGTTTCATCCTACTATAATTTTTTTTTCACGTTTTACCATTTTTGAAGGCTTAAGCACTGGTCTATATACAAATGACAATGAAATACACGGCCTCAGCAAAAAACAGGGCAGCATTAGGGTGCCGCTAGATTCGTATCGAATAAATTGATTGATGCCAAGCTTCAGATTAGAGACATACCATGTGCATGTTATTGATCTATGATGCGGATAGCCGCCCTAACATTTCCGATCTCTAGTGATTATTGATTATGCACTGAAACGTGTATTTCTATGGACGTACAATTTTATTTGTAGAAAAACAATGAGTATTTTTTTATTCACGACTTCTTTAACTGACTGCAGATTTATCTAGTTAATTTTCAATGGTATGTATTCTGTTTACAAAAAAAAACAACCTTGAAACAATGATTTCATTACAGTTTCACTTCGTGTTACAGAGACATTTTATTTTCAATTCATTTATAAACAAACACATTTGCTGTAGTTTTCATCGCTATTAGATTTGGAACACCATGTTTATTTTAGAAAACATCTAAAAACATTAGGTAATGGATCTGCATGATGATAGGAAATATACAACTAATACAAAAATCTCAAGGAACATTTAACCACTTAGATATTGTTTTAACCTGTAGGCACGATTTAGAAGTAAACGCGGAGGTATTTTAAATGGGTCAAAGCCATCGATGTTTCCTTACCTCCTATCGGAAAATTGGTTGTAACTGTCGATAATAATTTCAAAAAATGATTTGGAGCTGCAAACTACCTTCACGATTGCCATCCATGGTTTGGCGTGGACAATTCCCCTTTTCTGCCAGTAGAAACCCGGTTTAATAAGTTTGATGTACACCCCGTAGATAACGAGAATGGAAATTATTAATAGTAACATCACTAGACAAACGTCAAGGATTGTGACCGATTAAACTAAAAATCGCATGTACTTTATTTCACGGTGTATTCTCACGACGTTGTTATTGCGAACATGAATGTACTAATGAAGTAACATTTAATCGTGATCTAACAAAACAAATTTGTAGATTAAAAATATTCGATAGGCATCAATTTGTAGTAAGTATATAATTGAGAGTAGGCAACCTACAATTATCGGATGTACATTTTGAAATATACAAGGTGTAACTGAAATAAGTATTCAAAATTTCTGAGCTTGTAAAACAAGTCGAAAAATGACGAAAACTTTAGTACAATTTTTGTCAGTGGCGGCTCTTAAGGGAGCTACGCCCTCCTAAAGGGGTAACCTCGGAAACAGTTTTTAATGCGTAACATCCAAACGGCTCGACATTGTCACGAAATTTTGGTGAGATATTAACCTTGACGTGCTTAATAAGTATTCATAAAATACATTTCAAAATTTGCTACAGGGGCGTGAGAAAATGCAGGACCCAGGGACAAATATAATCATATCTTTTTTGTAGTCAATTTTTTCTAGTTCCTGACTCGAAAATATTGAAATTTGAAGTATTTAACATAAAAAAGGTCCTCTTGTTAAATTTCACTAGGATGTGCCGTTTTCCAGTAAAATCGATTACAATCATTCCCAACGTGCTCCAAATTCAACTTTCATTATATAGCAAAATAAATTAATTGCAGTGTGCCATGGGGAAAACAACTAGTCTGACAGTTAACAGAAATGCGTCACCGTGAGACACCCTGTATAGGTATGCACATGCATATACATAAAGCACGACGTACTGGTTGTAGTTTCAATCGTCACGGATTATTTATAACACAAATGCAACCAGTAATACAAGATTGTGATTTTACTGCCTAATAGTAACAAAGCAATTATAAAAGATTATAAAATGTAAACGTAATAAGTTCCTAACTTATACGAGTAGCTACATACCCACGTATTCTTTTTTATCAGTAAAACGAGTACCTTTCATTCTATTTCGCCGATTAAATTACCACAACCATAGAGAAACACTACTACGACACAATCACTAACAGACGTGTGAAGCCGGTAAAGTACCAATAATTTTTTAATGAATCGGCATTTTCGACAATAAGCTTTTCTGTAACACTTTTTACTTCACAGGAACCGTTCTTGGTATCCTAATTCAATTATTTTTTTTTACAATAATTGAATCGGGCAAAATTCTTGTAATCGTGATTACACACAAAGAGTTTTATTTTTGGCATTACCTTTCCTTGAAATTTGGCCAATCTTAAAAATTGAATTAAGGTTGTCGAAACATTCTCAAGGACTAAGAAATTACAAAGTATACATTATATAAGCTCGGATTACAACAAGAATGAAATATTTATGAAATTCCTATGACTTAAACGCTATTAGCGGCATATGGGTGTGAATTCGTCTCAACCACCAGCTTTGGTCACAAACGCCTACTTATTATATTAAGACGGATAAAAAATCACATGGCATTCGCTCAAGACTAGGAATCTGTATTTTACAGAATATATGAACCAAAAGGGAATGTTTTAACCATAGAAATATTAATTAAATTGCGTTTTTCCCAAGCCTATAACTCACGGTATGCCACAAAAGTCCTTGTGACAATTTTAATTTACAAAAACAACGAAAATCCCTCGTTTTTAATGTCTCAACGTAATTTACTATTTACTAGTAAGATTATGTAAACGTTTTTCCATGATTTATTTAATATAAAAATGTACTGGCATACTGGGACAGGCAAGTCGAAATTGCTAAAAATGGTCGAAAACTAATACCATTCATGCTCGGTACAACCATTGATATCTTAAAAAGAAACAGATTATAATCTTAACAAAATTCTTGTGATTAAAAGTCCTGCACAAGGGAGGGAGAGGTGTCAGCAGTCACATGCAGATGACGAGACATACTAAATGTTTTGTAATACAAGGACAGTGTGAAGATTATTAGGTATACAAGGGATGTACATACGATCAATTATAAAACATTTATTATAGTTCGTCATGAAATTGTTTAAAATTTATAATTGACTACATTAGATTTGTTTTGTATAAATCTAAAATTACTGTATTTATTTAATATGAACAATTATCATTTTAAGTCATTGGATGTTTCAAAATTTGCTTGAAAACCTCTAACTATGATCAATAATTGACTAATATTTGAACATTTTTTTTTCCACACTATTATAAACGTATTATACAGTGTAGGAAAGTACCGATGGTCTATCAGAAGTTACGTGAGAGCGATAAAGTAAGCCATAGAAATCCATGTGATAGACAAGGATGGCTATAATGAAGGCGTCTAATAGTCAACGCCCATTTCGCCCTTCCACAAATAAGAAATGGATCTTATTTGTGGAAGGGCGAAACGGGCGGTGACTATGAGAGGCCTTCATTATAGCCATCCTTCTCTATCGCATGGATTTCTATGGCTTACTTTATCGCTCTCACGTAACTTCAGATAGACCATCGGTACTTTCCTACCCTGTAGTAATTCAAAACAAATTATTTATTTTAAATCTCAAATGAAGTCAATGTTCTTTGATACTAGAAATCTAAGCATGCAAATGACATCAAACCTATAACTATTTATAAATAGTAACATAATTTACATTAACAACTATTAGTTGGGGGGAAAAGTGAAGTAAAATGCCAAAAGAGAAAAGAAATAGACGGGAATTATTTCAAATGTGGTTTGACAGTGATCCCGAAGGATACAGGGACATACATATTAAAGGAAATGACTTGTTTTGTACTGTGTGTGAACGCATGACAAATTCTTGTTACAAAACTAAAGTGACAAGACATTTGAAGAGACTTGCCTCTTCCAGCGCTAAAGACTCTGTATTTTTCTATGAACTTACAGATGCCTTTCTTTCAAGCAATATTCCATGAAACTAGAGAACCCCAATTCGGTAATTCCGTAAATTGGAATCACATGGAGTATCCCTAAATAAAATAAATAAACGTCGCCATTTCACTAAAGAAAACTTAGAAAAGCACGTAGTAATATGTTTTTACTCTTACTCCTTCCAATATGCCACGGAAGCCTTGTCTCAACACTAATGTTTATCGGGTAAGTGGTGTCATTTAAATTTATATAGGTATTAATTTTTATCCTCCACTTAGCCTTGTTCTTTGGTAATAGTACTATATTGCGACATATTTTCTGTAAACATATTAATATTTTCATTCGTAATCTGAGTACGGTCATGTCAAACTCCGCGCCGCACTAAGCCTAATCTAATTATAACTCTTGACAAAGACTAACTAGTTAAAAAACAGAGGTCTTTTTGTTTCCACATTTTACTTGAAATAATTGTTTCATCGGGTAGTGTATTCAATACAAACTATTTAATAGTGTCCAAATAGAGCAAAATAAATATAACCAAACAGGTTTGCTTCGTTAGTTTAAAAAAAATAAAGAAAAAAAGAAAATATTATGTTGTAAATACATTATTATATTTACATTACTTTGAAAATTATTTTTAGCTAAATAGTGTATCTACTATTATTGTTTTATTAATTGTTATTGTCTCAAATAATAATTTGCCAAATTGTTGAAGGATGTTAAGTGTATTTTAAATATTTTCTTTTTACTGAAAAAAACATATTTTTGTTCACAACATATAGATGTTTATGAAGCTATAAAGAGTCATTTATGAAATAATAGGCAACGATTCAATAAAACACTTAATTAGCACAGATTACTTAAGAGTGCGTCCAGATGATCTGAAATTACCGTGATTTTAGGACGGAAACGAAAGCCTATTCACGATGTGATTGGTCGCAAATAATTGCTTCGATTCCATTACATTTTCCATACCTAAGCAAGTGTAAGGTATGATGTGATCATATAAATATTCAATGTCACATTTATTTAACGTTTTTTATTCTAACAGACATTCAAGGGTGTCTACGGTCATGCGCTATGTGAAAAAAATGAGTACAACTTAGGAGATCCTTATTTCAATCGCTCCAAAAGGCAGACATTTTAGAAAAAATATTAAAAGGTTGCACATATATTAGAAAACACCTTGCATATCTCAAATAAAATAAAGAAAAAGCTGTGGGAGCGAAAAATTTGTTTTTCAAATTATTTAGTAAAAATCGGCATGATTTTTTTAAATTAGCAAAAACAAATACACCACCCTGTATAGATATGTGTGATTCAACCATTTTGCTCCATTTTTCTCATCGCAATGTCGCATCCAAATCGATTCTAAAGGAAACGCGACCTCTGCTTTATTATTTAACGAACAGTGATTTCGATGCACTGTAACGAAATTAAGAATATGTGATTGATTGAAATGACCCCACGATAGACCCGATATGCGGATTGCGTCACGCCTTGTTATATAAAAAATTCAATGACAATTTCCTTGCGACAATTCAGCTCGTAAAAGCTGAAGGCGAAATTTAAAAAAACCTCGATCTTAAGAGGATTAACAGTAAAAGCACACACATACAATTAACAACGGCTATTATTAACAGTGGTCTAATTTAAGGAAAATCGTGCACAAAAATGGAAGCATGAGCTAAAATTAACTATGTAGTTAATTTCAATGAACGTATTTATGGTGTCTAAAGAATTCGATGAGAGATATGTAGATGCAACTTATAAAGTTGTAGAATTATTCATCTGTGATGATGTTGCGTTCAAAATAAACAAATATTGGAAATTAAATTCCAAAACATTTCCTTTCTACACAAATTTAAATATAATGCATAATGAAGAAACATACATTTATATAATTTGAAAATTTGAAATGCTTGATGTAATAAAACGCTAGGGAACATCGTAGGGAAATTAAAAATATTAATAATTGTTGATTTAGTGAACATTCAAAAGAAAAGTATCGAAAAGAGACGAAAAATTCTGCATTAAATTGTTAATAACAATGGAAATTGTTAATCAATCGTATTCCGATTCCCGTTCGGATTTTATTTAAAAAAAGTGACTGAAAAAAATTTTTTGTTTGTTTCCACTGACAGATTTCTTTTTTTACTAAAATTTTGGAGAACATGACATTTTTTTTTAATTTGTAG